TCCCACGCAAAATCATCGCATCAATGTTTATGAAAGAAATAAGGTAATCGCGTACGAATCTTTTAAACTCGGGAACTACCTGCTCATTCGTGTTCAGGGTGAGCGTCCAGTGTTTTGTGTGGAACTAAAAGCATGTGGTATTTACATTGTTTTAACGACTCAACCTCTATACTTCACTAGTTTTCCCACCACGGTAGAGTATATGTTTATTCTTTAATTACTGGTTTTTGCACGTGATATATGTGCCTTTCTTTTCATTTGCGGTAAGAGGCTTTGTAAAGCACAATGAATGATTCATATACGTCATCAGGGAAATAGGCGGTCTAACTCATTAACGATACCCTGATTGTCTAAAATAATGATCCAGCAAATGTAACAATACTAAGAAGTGTATTCAAATTTCAAAAACATAGTGAAAATCAGTTGCAGTCCAGAATTTACTACCCCTGTAACAATAGGGCGCTGTAAACATTGTCATTCATGCACTCAAATAAACCGGTCAGTCGGTCGGTCAGTCAGTCAGTCAGTCAGTCAGTCAGTCAGTCAGTCAGTTAGTCTACGGAAGGTGGTCTGATGGCCGAATGGCGTTCAGACTCGATATCAGAAATGCCATCAATGGACAACTTCTATGCATAAATGTCACTGAGTTATTCGCGTTATTCCTTCGTGTTTTATCTTTTATTATCGGATCAGTTTTTCTGTTTGATGAAAAGGTTGTAAGTTACTTCACCAAGAAATATTTTGCTTGGAAATGAGAAATAAAATTTTCGTCACAATAAAACAATAATCGAAGAGATAACAGCAACAACTCAAAAGAAGACGACAGAACCAAGCCCATGCGTACACGTGGTTAACTGTGAGTGTCTGTTGCAGTGTGTCTGTATTTGATATTATGGGAACCGGAAATATACTTGTCAAACAGACGGGTTTGTCCCCTGTGAACGATACAAAATAGAGCAACGGGGATCTAACTGTCAATGCAAACACAAACACACACGCGCGAGCTCATAATCGCGCAAACAGAAATCCTAAACACACACACATACAACCCAATGTCTACATGCTCAAAGTATAATACCGGAGATGCTGACCGAGACCGTTTGTCTGGCGAGATGCTCAGTTGTTTAGGCACGGGTATTTGGTGAGTGTTTGTATGGGAAAGAATTGCGACGAATTCGATGACGGTGATGACGATTGTGCGAGGAGGAGGACTCGACACGCGGTCGTAGGAACGAAACAGGCATGTGGTTTGTCCACACAACAGTCGTGTTTCTAAACTTGAGAAGTTTGGCTTGGCAGTTCCAATAAATACGTATACACACGCGCACACGCATAGCACAGGAAATAGAAAGTTCACATTCGATATTCGCAAACCCATTTTTGGGTTCCGATACGGGTGTTTGGAATGTTCTACAGTACGCTTGTAGTCATACGCGCTCTTCCGTGTCTCTACCAATGTCTGCGTGTATTGAGTGAATCGGGGGAGGGGAATTGTAAGGTGTGAATTACGCACACATCTCCCTGCNAATATTGAGTTTGTACCAGCCAGATGGCGGCTGAATGAGTGTAGGATTCAGAGGGAGACTGGGATGCAGTACGAAGCGGAACGAGGCGGAGAGAGCACTAGAACCAGTGAGGATGCGGATGTCAGACTATGGACGAAGCGAGACGGAAAGCTAAGTCATTTCACGTTCCTTGTCTCGCTCTACCCCGTTACGGCTTCCTAGCCAGGCTCTGGGGCTAATGAATGCTAACGATCGGAAAATGGTGATGATGCATGCTGCCAAACATACAACCGAGGGAACTCATGCGGATGAGTAGAGGGTGGGAGTATTGGTGGAAGGAAATTGAGTTGGTGCAGGAGGAGGGCATGGTCACACAATAATTTTGGATAAACCGATTCAGAGACGCGTATAAAATACAAGACCCCTGTACCTCTTCGAAATAGAGCTACAGTTCTGATCACATTCAAGGACAACCGGAAGCAGAAGGGTTGGTGACGGAGCCCCAGCATCCATTCAATCGTGTGTGCGTACCAATACCTAGTTTCTTCCATCCCACCACCAGGGTAGACGATCGTTGGTGTATCGGTTGCTCTTTTCACGGACTAGCTTATCGTATGTCTGTCTCCCTCGTGGTATGCCACTCCCGGAATCGTAACGAGATTTGAAGCCCATAAACGTCATGAGGATACGTGGATACGTGCAAAGACACGCACACACAGGGACAGTGCACAGCCCAAACCGAACAGTTTGCATACTAATAAGTAAGCATAGTATGTTCCGACGAATTTTAACACGAGCATGCGGAGGCGCGCGCGCACACACACACGCACACACACAACCCACTTATCATTCCATTTTTTCTGTTTGACATTCGCATATATGTGCATGCACACACACACATACACACAAGTGTGTGTTTGTGAATGTATGTAGGCACATGCACGCGTAAAAATTTACACCTGCGTGTTTTGATTCCGTTCGATTGCTGGACGAAAACAAAAACAACGATATTGCCGATAGTGAACATATCTAAAATAGTGACCACAGTTGCAATTCGTCCCACGACAGCTAGCATCTTTTGTCACTCCAATACAGGGGAATTGACGGGTATAGGTGTCGTGTTTTGCTTATATGGGACTTCAGAAGACGACTATCAAGACAAAACTGGAACAACCCCGAGTGTAACTCAGTGGTTTTGTTCAACCGTGCAGTTTGAATTAGGTAAATTTCCTATCTTTAAATGCGAACTTGAGGTGAATTGGGGGAAACATTAAATACAAGTGATGATATTCATCATCTTTGGAGTTAATACTGAATAAACTACACGAGAATCAGGCATAATCTGTTACATCACATTGCAGACATTCAATCTGCTTTTATCAATGTTGGGAACCGTTGTAACTTGAGGGACCTCGTCCAAGCTTTTTGATAGAATCTCTAACCCACAAAACACCGAGGCATTACTTCCCATCCGACATCCATTGGAGACTGTTGTTCAGTCGGTCTCCCCACGCAAACTTCACGCAATTCTCCAAAGTGCATTGTGCTCACTGCTGTCCATTGGACCGATGACCACATGTCCAGGTAGTTATCCACGGGGCAGTTCCTATGCCTGCTCACTGATGTGGTTTGAAGTTAAAATTTCCCAATTTGTTTGGACAAGTCGACTCTACAACTGGATTAAGCTCATCTCACTTAAACGAGAGGACCGGCGCCATGATTCGGATATCCATTACAGAAACTCCGCAATCTTTGCTGCGTACAGTGTTGGTGCCAAACCATTATCTGTCTGTGCGTAGACACGTAAAAAGTGACAACTGAGTAAAGTGTATGGAACTTAATATTTATAATCCCAATGTGTGTTCATTGATCCAGACACCAAAATGTCCGCTGTTTATTGTCCCGAATTTCAGCTCTTTTCCAAACAAAACAATATGTTCGGTTTAACATCTCAATGCACATATAGTTTGATCAGCCTATGGAGACAGTTACGAGTTTTGAATTATATTTATCACGAGACTGAAGGGATTGAATGGTGTCAAAGTTGTATCGGTCAATCATCATTTCCTTTAGCATTCAAAATCACTGTTTTGATCAAAACAATCATTTTTAAAAATTGAACGAAGGTTTACTTCGAAACGGAATAAAAATTGACTGATATAGATAAAATACGAATGAGTTTGTACCCATAGCCACTTTTATTTATTACTCACACTGTAGCATTCAGATGACAAGTTACTCAAATGGTTCATCTTACATCACTGATCGAGCACGTCGCGATGTGCCTCCTCTTCACGCTACAGTGACCATTCTGATCTGAATAATGGAAGCGATATCGAATTTAGATTCCTTATGACTATTTTTCAAAACTGTCTATACAAACAGTCTCAACCATTCATCCGGTCGACCAACCATCTGATCGGGCGACCGAGCGGCCACTCGCGTGCTGAACCAAGGAACAACAAACAAGAAAACTCCAGAACTGAACAATCAAACAGACTCACATACCTGTAAATCAACACTCATGTCGCTGCTGAACCACAGTACCATAGAGCTGGTTATCTTGCAATCACGCGTCCATACAGACGTGGCTTGTGTGTGTGTGTGTGTATATATTCATACAAGAGGGGGTGACTGGAAGCAGATACAGAAGCCATGTAAAATGTGTGCTCGTGTATATATGTGGGAATGCATGATGGGTGGTACTCAGTAGGTAGACAAAAATGAAGTTGGTCTTCCGTACCTGTTCGTACATGTCTTTCGATCAAGATGGCTTCAATGCTCAGTTTGAGACAAGACGAGACACAGAGGGATCCAAAGAGCGACAGTGTGTGTGTCTGGATGAGAAAGGGGAAAACGAAGAAAACGTTTCACGCATATCTTTTTCACGGGTATCAAATGACGGAAAGAGCAACAGCAATTGATGAGGCTAGGGAGGCGGAGGGGGAGTGGAAGTCGAAGAGTAAGGGTGGATGAAACGGAGCAATGTAAGCTACACCGGAAGTTCCAGTACGAAAAAACTCACTCTTTTCTTGTCAACAAACTTCAGTCATCTAACATTTGTACAAATTTAGTGATCCTCATTACAGTGTACACATTCACACCTACACATACGCGCTTTATTTTACTTGTGTTTTCTAATGCGCACCTGATCACTCAGTGTTTTAATCAACGACGAGTCTATTAAGGGATTCGGACAATGGGGTTTAGACTATATCTGGGTTTTAATCGGTATTGCTTGAAAATATGCACCGGGGACCTAATACAAAACAGTATATGTGGGAGGGGGCAGATGGAGGGAGTGAGCAGGGTATGAACAAAAATAACAGAACGATCAGTGGGATGGAACGAGTGAAATTACTATACCCCTGGACCCTTCACGACATTATCGATCCGAGTGAACAGAAAATAGGCTTTCTGTCAACAGACTGATCGGGAATGAGAAGCCTAATCTATCGTATGATCCACTTCAATTTTGTTTTACTTCCGACCCAGCACGGTAAAAATTCTGCAGGGGATGTTCTATTCGATCTGTCGGAAAACGATAAACACTTTCCACTCACCGGTGATACAGAAATGGTCTGCACCTCGCAGGTGAGATACAATGAAACGGAATAAATGTAGTTCTACTATCAAATCCTATTTGGAGTTGATTTAAACCATGAGTTTTATTGGTCATATTAGCCGACACTTCTCAACAAACGGGTGCGCATAAGTCTCTGTCTATTAAGATTTAAGAGAGTAGAGTAGAGAATTGCATCCGATTAACTGAGCGAATTCATTTTATACACAGAGCAAAAGAGGCGTGAACTGAAAATCTCAGGAACAACTCACAACTGTTTCAGTCAAACTCAGCATGTTTCCGATTAAGACATCACCACGACAGATGAGATGCTCATAACAAGCTTTGCCAAGGATGGATCTATCGTGCATAAAATTTCTTATGCATTTTAGTCCGAATAAGCTGAATCTATGAACGACCAATAAAACGTGCAAGTAAGAACAGAAGCTCTAAACTCAATCATCTTGATGAAAACAGTTTATAAAACCCCCAATAAGAGTTATTTACAGTCGTCTGCAAAAATATTCCCCCGGGAAAGATGGATTTCCGTCCCCCAACAGCTTTTCGCACACACCACACTGAAAGTAAAACGTATGGACAACTTCTTTCAAAAGTCCTACACTCGAATCTCCTTGACGTCTTGAATAAAAGCACACAGGAAATAACTGTATGCTATTGATACATCGAAACAAATAGATCGAGGGTGTGTTATCCATGTATGAAACGATTTAGTTCGAATTACATTTCTCTCTCTTTGCCCCTCCCCTAGGCTCGTAAAATCATTGTAACAGAAACCCGTGGAAGATTAGATTTACTTCATTTTTGACCCAGATATAGGTCAGCAGAACGCAGAAACCGGTCTGTCCCTTATTACTTCCGACCCCAATCTACACCGAGTCTTTTTCCACATTTCCCTCTCATCATGAACCAAGTTTCGTTTGAGCAACTTTGGTAGGAGTGGTGTGCTACAGAGGGAGCG